TTACTTTTCAACTCCTAGAACATCAACACACAAGACTCCCCAGTGTCCCTGTTTCCAGGGTAACACAGCACAGTTTACTTGGGGCCTTGACAAAGGGCTGATTTCTAGGGACTCTGCCCCAGTGGCCACCAGGAGACGCTGTGGTTCCACACTTCTCGTCTGTGGAGGAGCTGAGAGCTGCCTGGCAGTCGGGGTTAGCAAGAAGCCCGGGCTTGGTCTCTGAATCATGATCCTGATTTGCAGACACGGAGCATGTGTTGGAGAGAAAAAGATAGGACCCAAAGTTGTCTATTCTTGTGCAAATGGGTTAAGACCAACAGTGAGCATGTGATTCTAGGCATACCTGGGATGGTTGCCAGGCAAAGGGGCCACTGCTACACAAAGCACTGACACCATGCAATCCAGATTAAAATAGGAGTGTATGTGTGTCTCTGTGTGTATGCATGAGTGTGTGAGAGAGAGAGAGACAAATGAAAAGTAAAAGAGCCCATGCGATCCCATCCCACAGAGATGTGTTTATGTCGGTCTCAGGTAGACTGCAAAGAGCGTGGCCCATATTCCAGTGGCCTGGGACCCAGCCCCGTGATGCTGTAGGTATTCAGTGCGACAGGAGGGCAGGGCAGGGTACAACTCTGCGACCGTGCAATAATGGAAGTCCCTTCCTTGTCGAAGAAGCGGCCTTGAGAGAAAGGCAGAGCCTGCTGTTCTGTAAGCTAACGCAGATCACTGAGCAAACTGCTAAATCACTGGAAAGATTTAGAAAAGGAGTCCCCAGGGTCATCTGCCTCTGCTCCACGGGGCACCTCGGAGCCTGTCAGGACGTGGGAGGAGACGGAGCTGGTTGGGTGAAATGGTGTGTCCTGATGAGGGGAAGCAAAACAGCCCCTGTGTCGGGAACATCAGAGAAGCTGCTAGAATGGGCTCCCCTGTAAACCCAGCCTGGCCTGATCCTACCGCTGTGCTGGGGGCCTGTAAGGCAGGGCCTCCAGGAAGGTGGCCTGACTATGTCCTCCGGCAGAGGGACCTTGAACCTTCAGAAGCCCACAAGCGCATTAGCGTGGCCAGGAAAGTCACCAGGGCCTGGGGAGACCTAAGACTGACTTTCCTCTCCGCTGATGATGAGAGCACGTAGGAGGGAGCTGGCCCACCTACATCCTGACCTTGTCTTTGCTGGTAGCTTCGCCGTTTCCTGTGCTGTAGCCTAGAGGAGCCAAACCCTGGACATGAGTGGGAAAACTCCACATCCCTGTGCCCTGGTTCATAGTGCTTTCTCTGTCTCTGTCATTACTGTCCCTCCTGTATCCAGCTCTGCCCTCTTTCCCACAGCTTGCAGGATGCTCTCCCTAAACAAACTCTGGACCAGGGAGTGAGCACCGTGGAGCCTCTAACAGTAAGAAAGTTTCACTATCATCACTTCCAGGTAGCAAGCCATATGTTTCTCTCTGTGGCCTTAACAGGCTCCCGGCTTGGGGAGATGCAAGGATGTATCTCTGTGCCAGCAGCAAAGGCATGGGGCTCATGTGTTTCATTTTCTCTGTGGACGGAGATCTTACTATCGTCTGAACTCTGAGAACAGGGCCGTTTTCCAGATTTTCATCCCCCCCACCAGAAAGAGTTAATTTGTGGCTACTTAGTCTAGGAAGAGTCAGGTGTTAATCACCAAAGAACCTGTTAGAGCTTTGCTAGGCACTGAAGAAGATTAGAATGAACTGAGAGTGCTTTACTGTGGCTCCTCAAGGAAAGCTGAAGTCCTCATTTATGCTGCACAGTTCACACCAGCGCCTGAAGTTTTGAGGCGATTTTGAGCTTCACTGTGGAGGTAGGATAGGACCCCCTCCATGGCAGAGAGAGCAGGGATGTGGAAGTACCATAGGCTCGGTGCTGGGGGTCACGCAGCACAGGGGCATTGGTCTCCAGCCTTCACTGGGAGTAAAACTTCTCAGTCCTGTCCCTTCCCAGGGCCTCCATTTAGGCCCCTGAGAGATGAGCATGGTGGCCAAGGAAATGCTTCCAGGAGGAGTCGGGGAAAGGCCTAACCCTGCAAGGAATTATTTTGGTTTCCTGTGTCCAAGTGATGGGGAAGGCCGGGGAGAGGAATGTTGGTGGTCTTGAGATTTAAAAAGCAACTGACTGATGTCCAGAATTTGCCATGCTGATGGCACGTTCAAGCGGAAACATCCAGCAGACCCTTGATATGAGACACATCAGAGAAGGCAGAGGGTCGGAGCCCTGGGGCTGCGACAGGTGACAACTGGTGGAAGAGCTTGGAGTCTCTGAATGAGGCGGCCACGTCCCAGCAGAGTCAGGGCCCCTTCCAGTCCATCTTCCGTGGACGATGAATGGTCACTGTTGGAAGGAGGTCCTCCAAGTAGTGACAGAGAACTGTGTCCCTGCCAGGCCCCCTCCGCCTTATGGAGAAGAGGGGGAGGACCTAGAAGCCCCGCCCTGTGCTCCTGCTCCCAAGGGCGGCATCTGGGCGAAGCCGCCTCCCACCCCACCCGGCCATGGCCGCCAGGCTCCTCTGCTGTGTGGCCCTCTGCCTCCTAGGAGTAGGTAAGTCCCCAGAAACAAAGAATCTGCATTTTTGGATATTTCCAGTTATGATTCCAGTTATGTTTCTGACTCTGTCCCCAAACTCTGCCCCCCTCCACAGAGCCCACAGATGCTGGAGTCACCCAGACACCCAGGCACCAAGTGGCAGGAATGGGACAAGCAGTAACCCTGGGATGTGAGCCAGCATCAGGCCACGCTGCTCTTTTTTGGTACAGACAGACTTCAGAGCAGGGACTAGCGTTGCTGATTTACTTCAACAACCAGGATCCTGTGGATGATACAGGGATGCCCAAGGACCGATTCTTAGCTAAGATGACTAACAAATCTTTCTCCACCCTGAATATCCAGCCGGCAGAACCCAGGGACTCGGCCACTTACCTCTGTGCCAGCAGCATAGGCACAGCGCTGCAGAGTCACCCCTCCCCGTGCAGAAAACCTCTGCTTCCCCTTCCGGCTCCAGCCCCCAGCCGTCCTCAGCAGTCTTCCCAGCACCGCCCCCCAACAGCCATCAGCACAAGGATGCGGGTCTGGTGTTCTACCCCAGGGAAGGCAAGCACAGAATGTAACAAGCCATCATGTTAGGAAGCTTTTGGCAGGAAGGCAGGAGGGGGCTGGTTCCTGGCACTTCTTACGCATTTCTCAGAGGGTGACAGTCCACGGCGTGGATGTACCGTGGTTTGTTTAGCCATTCCCCTTTGTAGGATATTTTAGTTATTTCTAGTTTTTGACTATATATAAACATCCGTGTACAGGATTCTGTATGGACATAAGTTCCTGTTTCTCTGGGATCAGTTTGTGCCCAGGAGTGAGATTGCTGAGTTATACAGTCAGTGCATCCTTACTTTGTAGAGACTCTGCCAAATTATTTTCCAGAGTGGCTGTATCGTTTTACATTCCCAGAGGGGCATTTTTAATACTAATAATTTCAACGTACATGAAACATTGCACGTCATCATCTGCACAATACACATGCAAAGAACTAAAAGAACAGAAAATCAAACATGCTGGACGTAGGTACTCTTTTTTGGACGTTTTGCCCTTTTCTCTTCAGAAATATTTGAATTCTTTCTATTCCTTATCTACCTGAGGGGCCTGCCTCTTCACTGTAGTCGTCATTGGTGGCTTCTGTCTGCTTACTTGTGTCAGCCATCCTAGAAGCCTCGGAGTCCATGCCAGGCTGCCCGGGTCATAGAAAACACAGAGTGCACAACGTTGCCTCCCAGGGTATTGCGTTCTTCCAGTTCAAGTGCACGCACTGCCTTCTCCTCATGTCCTTGTGGGATCCACGACCACAAAGTCTTCTCTGGAGTTTCATGTATAATTAATTCTGGACTGCAGAAGTTTTCAAAGCCCATCATTTTACGTTGCATCTGCTCCATTACAGCCCACATATTAATACAGTCAGCGAGGCTTCAGTAGCATTGGCTTCTAAAGAGGCCTGTGTTTGAAGCTTCATGGGAAATTCAGGATCACTTAAGTACTGTCGTATAACCACCATCATGCTTGTCATAACCTAGACTTACCGTCCCCAGGTCCGAACTTCCCCATGGAAGTAGAGTGATAGGGAATTGAACATCTCTTGCAGGCATTAACTAGCAGTGTTACCGGTTTCTGTAAATCACGCTCATTGGTAATGTCCCTTTTGTTTTTCATTATGGCTTCTCAACCATTTCTCTCTCTTCTAAAAAAAAAGTGTTAATTTCTGGTGCACAGCACAGTAATTCATTTGTAGATATATATTACTTTTCATATTGTTTTTCATTATAGGCCATTACAGGGTATTTTTTAATATTTTTATTGAAGTCTAGTCAGTTTACTAGATGTTGTGTCAGTTTCTGGTGTACAGCACAATGCTTCAGTCATACATGAACCTACATGTATTCGCTTTCATATTCCTTTTCACCATAAGCTACTACACGATATCAATTATAGTTCCCTGTGCTCTACAGTATAAACTTGTTTATCTATTTTATATATGCCAGTCAATATCTGCAAATCCCGAACTCCCAGTTTATCCCTCCCCTTTTCTTTTACCAAAAGAACTTCTTGTTTTTCAATTGAGTTTGTTAGTTTTATCCATCAATCACAGGTAAACTTTTGATGGCTACAAAAGCACTGAAAAAATGTTACGGACCTAGAATGCATGATCTGATCTCATTTACATGTATTGTGCTTCCCTTTGCAGGCACAAAGAAAGTAAAAGAAAACCAAATAGGTAATTTATCTATTCCGGTAGGGATGCTTAAGGATAAACTGTCAGAGGGGAAATACTTTGCAGATTAATACATAGTACATAAAATTATTTAAGAACAATTAATAAAAGTCCCATTTAATTTCATATATGCTTTTTAAAGTTGAAGTCTAGTTGACATACAATACTATATTAGTTTCAGGTGTACAACATCGTAATTCAATATTCCTATAGATTACTCACCATACAAAGTTATTATAAAATGTTGACTTCAATCCCTGTGCTGTGTATGACATCCCTGTGACTTATTTATGTATAAATTCCCCACCTTTGGATCTCCAGAGTCTCTATTAAGCCGACTCGCGATGTTGCTGTTAATCGCCCTTGCTCCCCAGACTCAGAGCCCTCAGACAGACCCCGACTCCGCGCTTTCTTCTTGGCCTCCCCTCCGCTGCTTCCTAAACCTCAGGCGGGGCAAGAAACCTGTGGCTGAAGTTGAGTCCTTTGTACTCCAGGAGGATGATGGCCATAAACATTTCCAAACTGATCAACGAAACATGTTGTGTTGTGTGGCAGGCTGAATAATGACCCTGAATAATGCCACTTCCCCCGCGAAGACCCCCATCCCGTGTCTCCATCCCTGGAACCGGTGACTGTTGCCTTAGACGGCAAAGATGGACTTTACAGGTGTGATTAAGATCTTAAGGAGAGATCATTCCAGGTTATCCGGCTGGGCCCTAATGCAGTCGCTCGTACCCCTGTAAGAGGGAGGCAGAGGGGACTTGACACGCTGGAAGAGGAGAATGCGACGTGATGACGGAGGTGGAGATGGAACACAGATGAGGTTAATGCCTGTTTAAATGCATGAACAGGCCAATTTTTATTGGTATCAGGTCTTCATCACCCCTCAAGGGGGCGATTTTTTTCTGGAGAAAATTTGTTCTTTCCTAGAGGGAGCTCCTGAGACGGTGGACAGCGGCTAACACGGTGATGTCACTGCCAGGCCACACCTAGGGGGCCACCAGGGTATGAATTTGCTTTCCTTTCTGCTCACCCTCGCAAGGCCTCTCATCTGGAAAAGTTCTCATTTTTATCTGGACCCTGCCATGGTTTCCAGGCTTCTCAGCTTGGTGTCCCTTTGCCTCCTGGGAGCCAGTGAGTCCTTAGAAATTTGAAAATCTCCATTTTGCCCTTTTCCTAGTCCATTCTTGTCATGTATTCTATGTTTTCGTCTCTTCCCCCAGGACACCTGTTGGCTGGAGTCGCTCAGTTCCCCAGCCACAGAGTCATAGAGAAGAAACAGGCCATGAGTTTGAGATGTGACCCAATTTCTGGACATGAGTATCTTGTTTGGTACCAACATGCTGTGGGGAAAGAGATGAAGTTTCTGATGTCCTTCCTAAGAGACACCGTACAGGATGCATCGGGGATGCTCAAAGACCGATTCTCTGCCGAAAGGACTGAAGGGACGTATTCCACTCTGAAGGTCCACCCTGCAGAGCCAGAGGACTCGGGGGTTTACTTCTGTGCCAGCAGCCTAGACACAGTGCTTCAGTGTCGCGTCCTTGCTGTGCAAAACCACATCCTCCCCGGTCTCCTCTCAACTTGGGGCAGCCCTAAACAGGAGTCTTTCCCACTGCCTCCTCCCCCCAGGGAGAGAAGCGAGGAAAAGCTAGAATTAACTCTTGAAAGACCAGAGTACTTCCAGAAAATCTGGATGGGGAGATTTGTGATTAGGGGGATTTTGGGGGCTCCTTACACAGAACTCAGTCGATGCAAATTTAATCTGTTTTTTAAATATGTGTGTGTTATGCTGGTGTAAGTCACAGCAGGTTTCTTGCCTGTCTTGCTGCTCGGATGTAAGAGCGATTGTGACCATGCTTATGGCAACATCTTCATGTGCCTTTTTATCACAGAATAAACAAGTCTCCCTGATGGAAATACAAATAGTGAATCAAAATGCATTTACTCCAGGGGTGCAGGTTGCCCCCTGACAATGGTGGAAATGCGGGTAATGAGTTTAAGTTACATTGGTTTAGCACAAATCTGCTTCCAAGTACTTTTATCCTCATCTTTGGAAACTTCATTTGGTTGTAGCTACTGGGGCTGCTTTGGAAGGCTGAAATACTCTGGTATCAAGGCTTAAATGGGGGAAATGTCTTGATGTCTTGATGTCTTTTTTATTGTTGCTGTTAATGGCAGTACTGGGGATTGAACCCGGGACCTTGTGCATGCCAGGCATGTGCTCTACCTCTGAGCTATACCACCCCCACCCCCCAAATACTTTTAAAAATCCCTTTTTAGGGTGGAATAGCCAGGTCAGTTGTTACAGATAAAGTCAGCTTTCCTTTATCCATTGTGTCTGATTTTTTAGTGTGATAAGCATGGGTCAGCACTCTATACAGTTGTGTGTCCGCCAGTCCTGGACATTTCTGAGGTCACTTCCCGTTGCTGCAATAGGGCGCTGGCATTCTTAGTGAGGCTTGTCGGGGCCCTGGTGTTGCGGTAGCTGGAGGGTTCTGGCTCTGGTAGGAGCAGAATGAGGAACCAGATACATTTCTAAGCCCTAGCGTCTCTCTCCTTCGCACAGATTTCTGCTTGGAGGCACTTTTCTATCGGCCACAAGGAGGCATTCTGGTGTCACTGATGGACAAAAGTTGTACAGCGTTTCCTAGTTACTCTCTGAAAAGTGGATATACATGGGGGGATTCCAGGGCTTGATGCCTGTATGAAGGTCAGGCTAGCTTGCAGACATCAGTCATCCACCCGTGATGGGGACAGCAAAACACAAAGTCACTATCTCAACAGGTTTCTAAGTGAGCCTTCAGCAGAAATTGCTGATGCGATGAGGAACCTCAAAACTGCCTTATAGGAGGAAGGAAACGAGGACTGAGCAAGGAAAGCCTGGATGGACCTGGGGCAAATAGAGGAACAGAGGCAAGTCAGGGACCACCACAGCACTTCCTTCCTGACCCAGCTGAGCCCAGCGCCTCTGCCCAGCAGGAAGCCGTGGACAGTGTCACAGCAAGCAGGGCCCTTGCCGTGCTGAAATCAGCAGCAGCATCACAGGCACATCCGCCTATGAGGGACCAGGGATGCAGTGAAGTCCCACCTCCCAGGCCAGAGACCAGAGTGCAGAACAGACAGATGCCTCAGTCCTGTTCTGGCCCTGCCATGGGTCCCAGGCTTCTCCACTGTGTGGCCCTTTGTCTCCTTGGAGCAGGTGAGTCCTGGTCAGAAAGGACATCTCTGACTAACGCTATCTTGTCCCCAGCTCTGTGGCAGCAACGTTACTCTCCTTTACTGTCTCAGCATCTTCCTCCTCTCCCTGCAGGTCCCGTGGGTGCCATGGTCAACCAGACCCCAAGATACTGGGTGACCAGGACGGGAAAACCAGTGACCCTGAATTGTTCTCAGACTCTGAATCATGATACCATGTACTGGTACCAACAAAAGCCCAGCCAAGCACCAAAACTGCTGCTTTACTACTACGATACACAGTTAAACAAGGAAGCCGACACCTCTGACAATTTCCAGTCCAGGCAGCTCAGCACCTCTTCCTGTTCTCTGGACATCCGCTCGGCAGGCGTGGGGGACTCGGCCGTGTATCTCTGTGCCAGCAGTAGAGACACAGAGCTGAAGGGTTCCCTCCCCTCTGTTCATAAACCTCTCTGTTTCCCAGATCCAAGGATCTTGTGAAGACCTCCCTCCCTTCTTACAACCACAGGAGGAAGTGGGTTTGTGACTGTCGTGATCGCCGTTGTAGATAGAAGTGGGGCATAAACCTACAGAAACCATCAACAGTTATGCCAAGAGTGGGAAAAGTGGTTCCTCTTACCCGACGTTCAGTTTGTGGTAATTTCCCGGGACACCTTAATCACCTGTTCTGTTCTCTTCAGTAGATAAATAGGAACTTTCTTCTTTGGTTTTTGTTTGTTTGTTTGTTTAATCTAAGTTGGAGACTTAGAAACATGTTGACAGGCCCAGGTGAGAGGTTGCCCCACTCTCACGAATCCCTGCCTTTAGGGGAAGAAACTGCCCTCGTAGCATGCTAATGCAGTCTCAGAGTTTTCTCATCAAGAAGGGAAAATCAGAACTGCTAAAAGTTTGTGCCAGATTTGAAGACAAGTGACTCACCTGGAGCATGCCTTATTCACAATGTATTTAACTATCCTGCCGGATACAGATCTGTCTCTGAACCATTTAAGTGGAAACAATAGGATTTATATCAAAAGCTAGAAGCAGTGCTTTGGAAGATATATTGAAATGACTAGAGTTTGCCCTCTGTTTTTCATGTTAATAAATAATATCAAATGCTGCAGCTCGTCTGGAAAAAAAAAAAAAAAAAAGACTCCTGCAATCGACCAGAACAACTTTCTAAAGGCCGATATGTGACTTACACCCTTTACTAGACTGAAACATTTATGATGGCTGATTGAATACATGGATGCAGGAGTGAGTACAGTTCACCCCTGGGAGAAGGAATTGGCATCTGTGAGCTAGAGATGCCGGACTCAGAAGATGAGGATGTGTGCCCTCTTTAATTTTGAGGAACACATACATGGTCCGACTGTGCAGTAGTTATTCCGTCACCACATATGGTCACGAGCAACACCACAAGCTTCCAAGTCTCTCATCAAGAGGCCGAGAGGTGCTGCCCAGCATCCAATTCTGGTGCTGTTAAGTGAAAACCAGGGCTGCTATAAACTGTCAGCTGGGCTACCGGCCCTCTAACTTCAATGTCCTGCTTTCCACACATTTGCAGCCCTTTGCCTACAAATGATTAAAGCTTGTGTCTCTTTATTCTTCTGCCTAGATTAAAATTTTTTCTTCTATAAAGTCAAGTATTCAGGCCAGATTTCTCTGGGGCCTCTTCTCGCTTATCCTGTTTCCACGATACAGCCTATGTATAAAACGGATGTATCTTGAGTGAAATGGCCAAAGCATTCCACCAGGGGGAGGAGGAGCCCGCCCTCCGATTCTGTAAACACGCCACATCGTCTCAAATAAAAGGAGAGAAATGAAGAGCACGGACTCGTCTCTTTTCTGGTCCAGGTGAAAGGAAGGCGAGACCCGGGACTGGAGATGCAGGTGCTCTCGCTGTTCGTGGTGCCCCGCCTGATCCTCATACGTGGACGGCGTCGGGCGATGTGATGGGAGAGGAGGAGCGGGAAAGGGGCTGCCGATGTGGTCGATATGGTTTGCTGTCGATAAGCAGAGTGGCAGGGAACTGTCTTGTCCTCCAGGGCGTGTGAAGGCCACTAAAAATGTGAGGACACATTTGGGGAAGGAGGGAATGAAATTCTTGGGGGAATCTGATAGAAAAAAATTGGAGGTTGTGATGTTGGATGCTCTGAGAGTTTGGAGAGAGTAAAGGAGAAAGAATAAAATTAAAAAATATTTTATTGTAGTCAGAACACTTAACATGAGCTTTACCTTCCTCACAAAATTGTAAGTACAATATGGTATATACATACAGTAGAACGTTTTTCAGCCTTAGAAGAGAAGGAAATGCTGCAATTCAACACAACACAGATAAACCTTGAGGACATTACGCTGAGCGATAAGCCAGTCACGGAAGGACAGGCGCTACGTGATTCCATTTATCCAGGGGTCAGTGGTTTCTTCTGCGGTTCTGCGTCATCCCACGTTTGGCCTCCTCTGCCTTCTCCCAGTTACATTCAGCAATTTCATTTCCCAGCAGCCAAACCAGGGCATCTTGGAAGAGAGAGCTTCTGTGCAGATCCAGGGCCATCAGATGGGCTTACAGGAGCCAACCATTTTCTGGACTATTGTTTTATTTGTTACGAATATCTGTTATTTCAGCAGAGTTAATACTGATGGCCCCTAAGAAAGCTGCCTTAGTTCAAGTCCTCTAAGAAGCTGATACCAAGCCTGGGTTAGTCTTGCAAGGGATTTATTAGAGAAAACGCCTGTAGGAGGAAATGGGAGGCAGCTGGGAGATGGAGATCTGTGACCCTGAAGGGAAGGAGTGAGGTAAGAAAAGGAGGCAAAGGGAGGAAGGAAGGAAAGCAGGTCTTAGGCTGCAGCACAGTTCTAAGAAATGGCAGCAAAGCTGGGCAGATCCTTAAGGCAAAGTAGAGCTATGAAGCTCTGTGTCCTTGTGGCCCGCCTCTCGCCCTGGACCGCTGCTTCAGGGCCAGGGCAGAGACAGGGATGCACTTCCCTTGAAATGATACCCCTGCTCTCTGAGTGGGTCCCTGGGTGGGGTAGGATGCCCTGGTCTTCTTGACTTGCCCCTCCCAGCGTGGACTCTCCATGCTATGAGCAAGCCAGGAAGAGGAAGCCTGGGGCCTCGTCTTCTTGGCCCACTGTTCCTGGAGTAGAGAGTCCACGCTATGAGTGGGTGCTGGGTGGAGGAAGGGACCCCAGACCTTGGGGCTGTAAAGGCCAGAAACAGAATTTCTACACTGCAGGGCTGGTGGGGATGAGAGGGCCTGGCAGCCTGCCCTTCCCTGGGGAGAACCTGGGGGATCCCTGGGTTCTGGACCACATCCATGTGTGTTAGAGCTCCTGCCACAGAACTTGGGCTGGTGGAGGAGGCAGGGTGTCGTGGCTCCGAGGCCACCGACTCTCACTGCTCTTCCTGAGATTTAGTAGATTGTCTTGAGTAACTGTTTCTCCATTTGCTGTATGCTTGTAGGATAATTTTCAGAGGTTTTAAATGCTTGTTCCTAAATTTTCAGGTTATGGTTTTTTCTCTGGAAATCAGATATTTAAAGCTCCTCCTGCTGCCATCTTGGAAGTGACTCTCACCCCAGTACAACCATCTACGTAAAAGGTGGCCAGACCCCGGGCTGTGATTGCCCACTCCTGCTCTAGCCTCATTTTGTCCCACTACTAAAGGGTGACCATTCTGGGGATCCCGCTGAAGCTTTAAGCTTTTCTGCAGTCTCTCTCTATGTTTTTAAAGTTCCATCCACACAGACACAGCTTATTGCTGAGACAAAAATTGGTTTTGATCCCTGTGAAGATTTTCGGCGTTCTGCTGTGGCTCCTTCCTCTCTGGCGGTCTTCCTCACAGCTTCTAGCTGCCTTTGTTCCAACTTTTAACTTCTGTCTCATCAACTCAGAAGATTTACAGGCTCTGTTTTTCCCTCCTCATTGTGTGTAGACACTGCCCCCATTTGTTTCTGACTTTAGACGAATCAGAGTCCTGTGCTGCCTGTTTTCCAGTGACTGAGTTGTGTCATATATTCCATTTGTTTTTCACTTGTACAGAGCAGGATTCTAAATTTAATGGATAGATTTCAGTTCTGGAAACTGCAAATAAAAAATATTAAAAATTAAAAAATAAAATAAAAATAAAGAAAGGACAGGAAATAAGAAATGTAGTTGAAAAGGATGTGAATGAAGTTGAAGGAAGAGAAATTTCCAGGACTTAGTACATAGTCGATAGTCAATACTGTCAAACGCTTCCAAGAGAAGCAGGCAGAGAAGAAAACGTAAATTCTTCCCTCGGTAAGTATATAATGTTAATCTTTAGGGAAATAACTTCATAAGAGTATAAGGAATGGAAGTATTCCATGAACAAGTTGAAGGCGGCGTCTGAAGGAGTGATTTCTCTGTGACAAAAGCAAGTTTTGCCTTTATATAGACTACTCGGTTCTAGGAAGTGGGCACGTCACAGAGAAGCTGCTCATGGGGAAGAAAGAACCTCGGAGAAAGCCACATGCCTCTGCTCTTTTCCTGATTCTGCCATGTGCCAAACGTTCCTCAGCCTCATGGTCCTTTGTCTCCTGGGTGCCGGTAAGTTCCTGTCCTGATCTTTCAGCCCCCTGCTCGTAGCCTGTTGTCCATGTCAGCCGACTCCCTCAGGCACGAAGGCTCCAACTTCTGTGTGCTTTCTTCACAGGCTTCCTTGAAGCAGAAGTCACCCAGACTCCAGGGCACCCGGTCAAAGGGAAAGGACAGAAAGCGGAAATGTGCTGTGTCCCAAAAAAGGGACACAGTTATGTTTACTGGTATCAACAGATCCCAGCAAAAGAGTTCAAGTTCTTGATTTCCTTCCAAAATAATAATGAACTTGATAGAACAGGGATGCCCAAGGAGAGGTTTTCAGCTGTGTGCTACCAAAACTCATCCTGTACCCTGAAGATCCAGCCTACGGCACTGCAGGATTCAGCCGTGTATCTCTGCGCCAGCAGTGAATCCACAGTGGTAAGTATTAGCTGATCTTAATGCACAAACTCATTCTGGCCCAGCTCAGGAAGCAGGTGGTGTAGCAGGTTGAAAGAGGAAATAACAGAAACTAACTAGAGCTGTCTTAAGCCACGTGGAAATTTCTTGCAAGGCTAAAGTATATCCTATGAAACCCCAAAACAAGAACGTAGGACTTTCTCTGGAACAAACCAGACTGAAGTCCTGGCAGATTCGACAGCTCATTTCTTTTCCCACCGTGTTGGCTCCGTTTCTTCTCCCTTATTATAGACCGTCTCCTTCATTTCTTAGATTGCATAGTGATGAGATGATTATAGATTCAGACGTCAGCCTTCCAGCCACATTGAGAAGGATCAGCTTTCTCTCATGCTAGATTACAAATCCAGAAAATAGGAAAAAAAAAAAAAAAGATTCTGTTTTACTAAAAACTGTGCTTCTAGAAAACTCAACGTTAGCCAAATGGGTTGAGTTATTCTGAACAACATGACAGCTGAGAGTCTGTGACTTTGACCTTATGCATCAAGAATTCCAAAGAGTGGAGTTCAGTCCTCTAATTAGGGGCCAGGACACCCAAGTGATGTCCACCACGTGTGAGGGGTGAAGGATAACTTGCATTTGCTGGATACAGAAAACCTAGGAAAAGAGAAAGGATCAGAGGAGCGACCAAATCCTTAGTTTTTAGAATAATATCAGACCAAGTGAAGACTCTGGTTAATTTCTTTTTAAGGAGTTAAATCCAAGTCACACAAAAAGCGTGCTAATTTTAAGTGTGACAATGTCAGACCCCTCCTCCCCCCAGTCACTAATTAGTTTCTATGGAGTTGAGGAAGGAGACAGATGAATATGTATGCACTGACTGGAAACACATCTGATGTGCAATTGCAAATTGATATGCAGACAGTTGAAAAGCCCTCAGGTGTGTGATCCAAACTGTAGTGAGACAATAATTCCACATCAGTGTAGGTGAAAGCAGGCATTGTGACTTTACTTCTACCTAGGGAGATCCGTGCAATTCTTTAGAGCAGATAAAGGATTCAAAATACCTCCTCTAAAATTTGATGATCTCTTTACAAAACTGGTTATTTCTATGCCACCCATCACTCATCTCTAGAAAAGTTTATATACTCTTCCTAGTCACATCTGCTCTTA